AGAAATATTGATAAACAAAAGGGTTGAAACAATCTTTGTGAATACTAAATTTGGAGAATCTGGATGATTTCTTTGAGAAAAACTAAAATAATCTAGATCTACTATAACTTAAAGGCTTTCAAAACTTATTAAGTAATCTTGATGAATTTTTGGAAGAGGAATCAATCATATCTCTTAGGGCTGTGCAGTAAATTATATAATTTTTGCTTACTATAAGATCTACCTCTCTCACCCTATAATAAAAATTAACCAATCAAATTTTATTTTTCTTAAGATATGATAGATTTAATACCCCCTCTCTCCCTAAAAAATCATATAATTTTCTATATTTTCCTTAACAAAAATCATTGTATAGAAATATTTTTTCTGTTTTCTTAGAGAGTACTAATATAATTCGTGCTATATTAAGTTTTATTAGGAAACTAATATTTTCAAATATTACAATTAGCAGTTTTAATGGCAAATGTAAAATAAATTGGTATGGTTTAATAAATATTAATTAAATTTCATATGTTTAATAGAACAATAAATAATAGTAAAAATTGTTTAATAATGATAATAAGCAAAATAATTCTCGAAGTTAAAGTATATATTCATTTTCACTAACTTTAAGAATAATATATAACTAATATAAATATTTTTTTAAAAGTACTGATAATATTCAAGTTTTATAAAAAGATAAATAAAGAACTACTTGAACTCGCTTTAGTTCGCTGGTATGAGGGAGATATTGAATTATAGAGATGTCCAAAATTAAAGTTGCTCAAATACTATAATTGTATACCACTAGAGAGCGTAGATAGAACTGTTCATATAGTTCTGAGATTAAATAAAATGAATGAATATCTAGTGAACTGTTTTATATTCTAAAATTAGTATGCACTAAATAATTTTTTTTTTTTTCACTTAAACAAGATCACGCCAGTGATCGATATTTAATAGAGTCTCAATCTCGTGAAAGATTACAAATATATTACTATAACATTAAAGCTATAATCCTGACATCCTACAGCTGCTTCAAAGAGTGCCCATCGATGATCTACCACATCAGCAAGATAAAACCAAAAGGTAATACCCTAATCGGAAAGCTCATCTGACCTACTACTCTACAATAGAATACTACCAATCTGATGATATCTTTTTGTAGAGAAGTAAAAAGAAAAAAAAAAACTATATAAAAAAATACAGAGATATAGAAGAATACAATAAAAGACACAAACAAGAAAATAAAGAGATAAAGGAAAAATGAAAAAAAAAAAAAGTGAGATATTTCACCCACAACGGATGGTCACAATTATAAGTCTGTATTGGGCTTTATAAAAATTACATACTACTATCTAAACTAGTCTCTACTTTAATTTAACTAATTAGTATATTTAAATGAAAATCTAAAGGAAAAAAAAGCTCTTCAACATCAGTACCATACTCTAGCACTATAAGCTCTTCAGCTTCTTTTGGTTAAACTCTTATAAAAGCATAAACAAAAGCATACTTTGGGCACTATAGAGAAGTCAGAAATTTGCACAGTTGGTCTCGAAGCATTGTTTGTCTAGGTTGCCACTTCTGAGGCACGTAATTCAGATGTCTATATTTTATTTGAATCCACGTGTTTGTTGTGACAGGTAAAAAGTAAACAATACTGACCAATTTGGTAAGTAAACAATATGTTGATCTTTTGAAGGAAGTAAACTAAATCGCCCACTTTTTTACAAAATTTTTTTAGAAAAAAAAGTAAAGAGTTAACGAGAATATGTGAGGTTCTTCTTGTAGGTTTTACAGTTGTATAGTCCAGTTTCCAAGTATTTACTTGATATTCTTTCTTAGAGACTTTGCTCTACTTGCTTCTAGAATAAACCTTCTAGTTTAAATACCAAATGTGCGAGAGAGTCTGTCAAGAAGAAAAAAACTTGACCCAAGACACAAACACACCTAATATTCTTATACACCTGCTTCTTGGTATTTCACGTATTATAAGCTTCGTCAACAACAAGTTTGTTTAGCACAAAATCAAGAATATTGCTGTGTTCACTATGTCACTTTTCTATATCACTGACTGTAATTCAGTGAATTGTTGTTGACCAAGTGATTGTCAGAAAGAGTTCTTCTGAATTATGAGCACTAAATAATTTAAAGTATATATATTCTAATTATTGTAATATATATATTGATATAATTATAAATATATTTGTATAATTTATACAAGATAAGTATCAATAGATATTGATAATCATATATGAGTAATAAAATTAGAAATGATAATATTCAATATATATTTGTATATATTAATTATTTTCTCATATTGAATTTTAATGATATATAAGATATATATTGATATATATATACTTATCAATATATATCGAAATATTTAATAATAAAATATATTATTTAATAGTTATGTATCGATATTTATCTATTTATCGATACTTATCGATTATTAATAAATATTAATATAAATCAATTTTATCGATATATATTGATTTTGTTTAATTGATATATATTGATAAATTATTATATATCGATATATATTTGATAAATCATTATATATCGATATATATCGATAAATCATTATATATCAATATATATCTATATATAAATTTTGCTGATAAATTGCTATTACTATTGTACTAAATAAAATAGTTAATAGTAATAATCTAGTTTAGTGATAATAAATAAAATAACTAATTTTTTATTACAGTACAGACAATCTAGTCCCAACAAATAAAATTGATGAAATTTAAATTGCTAATTCTTTTTTAGAAAAATTAGTAAACAAAAATATTATCTTAAAATATTAAATCAAAACAAATTAAACACTTTCAAGTTCTTAAATTTTTTTTAAATCTATTTATAAAAAAGTTATAGCTAACTAAAATTATAGCATTTTTATAATTAAATATGAAATTTGGACATCTTTTATATATATATAAAAAAGCAAATTGGCTTTGTTAAACAATTAATTTAATTTTATATATATTAACAATTTAAAATTTAGCTACTTTATATATAAATATTAGCTAAATTTTTAAATTGGCCTCTTCATATATATAAAAAATAAATCTAAATTTAGCCACTAAAATTTTATTTGCTGTGACTAGGTTGTCTATACTATATACTAGTTTTGATTATAGTATATATATTATTGTAAACTAATATACTAATATATAAGAGTAATCTTATAAATAATACTATTTATTGTTAATTAAGATTTGAATCTAAAGGGTATAGTGACTTAGTGTAGTTGGTAAGTTGTCGCACCCCAAGCGGCAGGACAAGAGTTCGAATCCCACTGGCAATGAAATTCGAATTTGCAAAAATGTGTTATGATAAAACTATATGACATATTGATCAGATAAGTACCTGTAATTTTGGTTTCACTAACTCGTATTAGGAGAGTGTAGAATGTAGTATGACGTATAAGTTATACAAAACCTGAGTGAAGCAGCCAAATAAATCTAAGAGATCAGAGGATACAGAAGCCCGCTTGGGAAGTCCCAAGTAAAGAGGTAGCACAGATCTTCAAAGATGCTATGTAAAGGATTATCATCTGGGGAACTGAACACCAAGACAAACTGAACGAGGACCAAGTGTTTGGCAAGCACTACACCAACCAGATCAGCTAGAGGAAAAAGGATTCATTCAGAATACCAGGGGACGCCCACTGGTCCCTCCCAGGCCATCTGAATTGGAAGTTTGAGGCATCAACAGTTGGCATCAAAGTACTGTTGATAGTCTGTAAAGTAGGTGCTGAGGTTTGAGTAAACTTTGTAAGAGCACAGAGTATGTAATGGTAGCAGAGGTAAAAAGCTGCAAGTACTTGGCTGCGGCCTAGGCATAAGTTATCGAAAATCTAGGTGATACATATATAGGATATAGACTACTCTAGTAGATTTATCACGAAGATAAAGTAGTTCTAAGGGGACTTAGCGGCAGTTCCCTCTTTGGAAAGAATATCCTGACAGCACTAAGTTGATTAAAGAGTTTAATTAGGTAACTCAAGTAATAGTAAGTTACAGATACAACATTTAGTGTAGTTCATATAGGTTATATATGCGAGACTGCTTAAATAGACAACCAAAAGTTGTATATATGGCTAGTATGTATCCTCGTTAATATAACAAAGTCTGAGATAGTCCTGTGGCTGTCCTGGCATTTGATCCAAAGTTTAATAAAATGTGTTAGACCCCAAAGTGGTCACCTTAACATTAAGAAAAAAAAAAAAGATTTGAATCTAAACTTTAAGCACATTTGCTAATTATTAGATTAGATTTAAGCCAGATTTGAATTAAACCTAAAGTTTAATATTTGAATCAGGTCTGATTTAAATTTAGACTAAATAAACTCATTTTAAATTTAGTTTTGAAGTAGTTTGGTTAAGTAGAGTAAATACTAAACTAGCAGATGAGTTAGATGGGCAGACACTAAACTAATAGGTGGGTTAGATAAATACTAAACTAGTAGATAGGTTGAGCAGGTACTAAACTAGTAAGTGAATTAGGAGGCAGGTATTAAACTAGTAAATAGGTTAAACAGACAGGTACTAAATTAGCAGTTAAGTTTAGTTGGGTATATTTTAAACTAATATATAGAAAATATATCTTGAAGTAATAAATACTGTAAATCGTCAAAAATAAGCACCCCTAAAAATAAGCACCCCCTATGATAATCATTAACCTCTGAAAATAAGCACCTCACAAGCAAAATTATCTGCAATTTAATACCTCATTATGATGATCACATGGCAGTAAGTATCAGTTTCGTTCCTTTTTTCTTCGATATGCATTTCCCTTTAACCAATTTATCACTTTTCTGTTTTTTTTAAGATAGTTAGATGCTGAAGTATCTTGTGGGAGTACTAATCTCAGAGAACTTATAACAATTCTAGTAGTCTTTCCTTGTCTGTTATTTAGTTCTTGATCACGTGGCTTGAGGTAAGTTTCGTCAATTCATTCTGATTTTCTTATAGAGCTTATTAATGCCTTTAAATTTTCTACTTTTTTGTTCTAGTTGTCGCAAGCTTCTTCAAGGTTTGTAAGGTCGATAGAAATTCTCGGTCTTTTAGCTTCTTCCCATTTTGTATCTTCTTCATTAACAACTATTTTATAATCAACATCCTCATCATTCTTATCAGCATTTTTGTTGTCAGCCTCATTTTTATAACCAGCTTCAGCAGGTCTTTGATAATAAATGAATACTTTATATTCATTTACTTCAATACAACTCATTTCAGTGAATTCTTGATAATAGACAGGCACCTTATATTTATCTATTTCAACTCTTATTCCATTTTGATAACAGTTATCAATTTTGGGTGTGCCGGTCATACTTTCTATTTCGGTAGGCCTTTTATAGTACTTTAATGCTTTCTTTTCATCCTTTTTATTATACACTTTCTCTATACCTTATCTTCATTATTGGTTCCAGGGTAGGTTTCTTTGTTATTTTTGTTGGTTTTTCTATTTTCCTTCTTTTTTCTATAACAATAAACATCTCCACCCTTTTTACCAAACTTAGCCAATTTTTCATACAAGAGGCATGCTTTTGCTTCGTCCTTTTTTACTCTATTTCTATGTTTGTTGCAATTTCTAGGGTTACGTATTTCTTTATTATGACTCGTATTGGCAGATTGTTGTAAATCAGCAGGAGCTTTTCGTTCGTCATTTTCAATGTCAATCCCATTTTGGTAACAACAGCCAGGGTTGTCATTTTCAATTCCAATTCT